CCTAACGGTTTTCCATGTCGTTTGATCCTTTGCAGGCTCGGTTTTCGTTTCTTTTTATTTATGTTTACATTTCAGCACTCGATCGCATCGTAGCCCCCCTTCCCGTAAGGTTCTGGCTTACTTGATTGCGTATTCGATCGGTTCATTCGTACGAGATCGTTTGTGATTTTCCCTTCACGATTTCGTTACTTCGTGTTATGGTCTTTTCGGGTTCGGATGTTTTGGTTATTTTTCGCACCCCATGTGCCTTTTTTCGATTTTATCCGCCGACTATGCCGCCCCGGCTTCTTCTGTGTTTTCTTCTTTCTTGGTTCCGCTTCTTGGTTTGGTTAACGGAGAGGTGCGGGTAAGAATTTTGAGTTGTCGTATCTTCGATCCATCCCGCAAACCTCTTGATTGACTAGAGTCCCTCCGAGATTTGCTTCTGTATCTGCATCTACGTCCACTCAGGGTGGGCTATTGTTATGGTATTTGGAGGTAGACATGTGATAGTGGTTGATCATGGTTATTTGGCGCCGTCGGATGCTATGACGTGACGTCATGCTAGATCAGGGCTTTATGCCGAGACATGTGCCCTTCTGTTCAGTGTGTGCGTACAGGTGATCTATGATCGCGTGTGCGTGGGATATTGTGAGTTGGCTTGGAAAGCGTTAATCAAGAGAAAGAGAACAACGGAAAGCAACAACAACCTGCTACTGTGGTCGGACAAGAGAGTTCCACACAGCTCAAAGGTGATTGATTCTGAAGGAAGGGGTCAAATACCATTACACACTCAACACCACCAGTGGGAGTGCGGTGATCAGGGTGCAGCTGTCACGCAGCGCAGCACAAAAAACAGCAGTACCTGCGAACAGGGGAAGTTCGTTGGGTGACTGTCGTCCCACCGCCAATCACATGAAGCCGCCTTAAATCGGAAAATATTCGCCTGCAGGAAGTTTCCAGGAAACTTTAACTTTTTTATCTCAAAATCTGTTTCCTTATCTCAGCAAATTTGGAGCCCCAGTCCGAAACTGTGTAATCAATCATATGATGTTCTTGTGCGGACAAATGCAAGTTCGCCCGCGGGAACAACGAAAGAGCTGAACTATATAAACTACCGGTCCGCGTCCTGGTGGTCTCCGTCATTCGGGTGTGATCGTGCATACTAGTCAGATCATCAGAGAGCACGGATAGCGAGATTGTTGACAGCGTGGAGTGCCTCGCCACAAACAGTGGGTACCCACCGATGGGCGCTGTGAGAATTGCCCTCTTCTTTGTCTCCGCTGAGGGCCGGTCGAAGACTGATATTTCCGGGTGCGTGCGCGTCTGGTCGTCTCAACCTTCTTCTCGCGAAAAACAAGTCATGGTCTCCAACAACAAAAATAGTCCACCGAAGAAGAAAAAAATACGAGCGAGCAGGCACTGCTGGGTTTGTCCATGGTAGTTGTATTTTTGCTGTTCTCTGCTCAGTAACGTCTACAACACACATACATTCCCAAGCTTGGGGTCTCTATCAACCTAAATTCACTTTTTTTTCCGTCGCTGTCATTTTCGTTCGCATAGCCCACCCTTCGCCCGACAGAGTCTCAAATGTTGATCTCGAGCCACAGTGGTCAGAGGGACGAGGGTGGGTGTCTTCTCGAGCGTGTATGCCTGGAATATACGCCCGTTTGAAACCAAAAATGTTCGATTCAATCAGACAATATCCATCCAAACAACTCGAAAACACTAATGGTACCGACTGTCTGATACTATACGTGTACGATACTTTTTACAGGGGACCAATCGGGACAGAAAAGTGGACGATACGATGCCCGATTCAAGTATACTAATCTAAGTATGCAGCAGCCTTCCCACGGCGGGCGCGTTTCTCACGGGCACCTGTATCGTTTTTACTCGAAAAGAGTGCGGGGGAACGGAAGGGGGAAAGGTGGAGGGCGGAGGGCGAGTGCAGGATCAAGGTGATACATTTCATGGTCACGTGGGGCCGCCAAGGGTCGGGAGCCAGGACTCCAACAAATAGGGTTGAACGGGAAGGGGCACAGGGCGAGTGCAACATCACGGTGGTAAATTTCATGATCATGTGAGGGTCGATGAGGGAGCCAGAACTCCCCGTTGTGCCATTTAGTTTGATGGTTTGGTTGTTTGATTGCCTGATTGTTTCTCTGGGGAACAGTTTTCAGCAACACACCAAGGGGGGACGCCCAGCGCGTGGGGTATAAGCTGCGTCCGAAATCTCGGAATCTCAAAATCGGGGAGGGGGGGGGTATACTAAAATCTCTATAGAATTTCGGGGTCCTCGCAGACAAAGATAACGTGCTCCTTAGTACCCACCTTTTGGGGGGGTACGTACCCGCCCACGGCTGCTCGAACTGGGAACGTTCCACAACATCAAGTAGTTAATGGCCACCCAAAAGAACCACCCAAGCCTTGGAAAGTTCGTGGCTGGGGGGGGGGGGGGGGGGGG